TGCCGACGAAATTATTGACGTTCACTTTTATTGCATTTTTGTTCTAAAAGAATTCCAAGCCGTTCTACTTAATTTTTGTTTGGTTACAATAAGAACATGACTGTATACAGACCAGCTCTGATCCTATTGATTAAATGAATACTTGACGTATGTAGTCTAATTATATTTACAGACAAACAAACGGTAATAAATGTGATAGTGTTGTATTGAGTTACTATCTTCGTTCAGTGTATTTGAGTATTTATGACGCACGCCTGTCACTCGCCAGACTGGGTTATTCGCGAGTACTTTTCCAAAGTACACGTGTGGCTGTAGTCAACCGAATGTAGCTTTGCATAAAGCTTTATTTTGTATCTTCCTTAATATTTCAAAGATCCCAATAAACAAAGATAGTATTTACAATTTAGGTGTGGGAGAACTTACAATGCTGCCTGCCAGAACAGCGGCATGAAACAATACTTGCCGAGATATCGGAGGCCCAATCCTTAAAAAATGCGACAACCGGGAAAGATGAAATGGGATGAAAAATAGCGTCAACTGTGTGCTCCGTGTGCAAAGCACCTAATTGAAAACCACATTAAAATTATATAATAATTGAAAATTAAAATCCACAAACAGAAATAGATTCCCCCGAAAGTGTATAATTTATTTAAATTTATCATGCATCATGATAGTTATTATTCACACAATAGATTTCACGTGCAAATTGAGTAAATTGACAAATTAGTGTTTATCAGGACAAGCTAGTATTTGCATAATTACTAAACCTAATAATGAACACAACACGAAACACACTAAAATTGAATATCGGTGCATAGTTTGGAAATATTTTAATTGTAAAGTAAATATGATCGCGATAGGTGCGGGGTTCCGTGCGAAGCGTTCATAAAATCGGTCGGATTAGTGAGCGGTGCGACATATCGACATATGATAACAATATTGTGCGCCGCCCTGATCCTACCCGCGATATTACTGCCGAGCTCCTGTATGTATTACCGTTGGACATTTCCACCATTGTACGAGTGTACTACATAATAATTACTTATATATGGTACACCAAAAACAATGGAAAACTTACCATCCTACGTAACTTATGTAAAATAACTAAATTGAACCTATAAATCACGATACTAAGTAAATAACTGACAGTATAATTTATAAAGCTAATTAACCAACTTACAATAAATCAAACTAAAGTTTTAATTAACATTTCTTCAGTATTTCCATACAAACACTTTCAAAGTAGTCAATTTGCAATTTTACAAGTGGTGAAGTCGCATTATGAAGTTTTGTGATGAATAAAGCACTGTAGGTATTATATTATTGGCTTTACTTCCAAGTTAATTTCTACAAACAGGTCCGTGAATAAAAAAATAGAGAGTGATTGTGTAACGGGGACGAGCCAATATAATCCTTACTGCTCCAACATAAAGCTTAATGAACCTTGCACTATTTACCGTTCACCTGCGCTATGCAAACACTAATTATGTTTATCTAATACCTCATGGTATTTTTTCGTTGTAATCATTTACTTTCCACGACAGGCTACACAAGTATTTATGATTAGTAAATAATGAAGTAGGCGGCGACTGTTTGCTCGCGACTCAGCGCCGCGCGGTGCGTTGCGACAGGAACTATGGCCGCTTGCCTTATCTCCACGTTTTGTACAGATAAACAGAATTACTACTGTTTACATTTTATTTCCACCAACAAATGATGATGCAGGATATTTGTTTGCCTAACATTCATTTACTTGGATCTTGTGGAGCTCACGTCGTTACTGAGACACTGTGAGGTTACATGGGAGGCTTTAACCACCTCCAGCATCTACTATAAACATTTTATTTGTTAGTGCTTTAAGAGGCTGATTACCTAACGTCACGCTATGTCATGCCAGCAGGCAGTAAATCACATGTGATGTGACCGCGAGCCATCGCACTCGATGATCTAATAAACCGGGTTGTAGGTACCTGCGTACGCCATAACTGAAGTGCTACGGAACCATACACACAGCCGGATGAACTCCAGCAATCAATTATACAAGTTTAATATAAATTCGATAATCGTCTGGCTGAATGGCTCGGAATATTGTCGCAATGCAGTTATAACAGGCCGGTATAGTCGGCCGGCGGCCGCGCCGAACTTAATCCTTATTAATTTAGTCAATTTGGAAACTTCCTGCTTCGAGAAACTCGATAACATTATACTGTTGGAAAAACACGATTGTGTTACTGAAAGCTTTTACAGGGCCAGTTAATGTTCAGTAGGTCACGTTAGTAGCTAGCGTGACACGCACGACACCCGCACGTCGCCCGCACGACAACCGCGCAATATCATTACGTGAAATACACGGAATTGGGTACTTTCCAACTATTCAAACTCAATACTTATTTCGGACTGTCGAAACGTCATTTTCTATTAACTTTGTACGTGATCGTGTGTTGTGATGTAATGCTTTTTATGGCGATATGATTATTTTAAATGTAATACTGCGGCAAACGAGTAGTCGGAATTCCATCAGATAGTCGAGCCGGCCCTTTCTTTCTTTCGTGCTAAAGCATTGCTCTTCCACATTAAATTACTAACTATTTGTATAATAATTAAATGTAAGTAATAAATAATTCCTGTAAGTATGTAACCGAGTGGATAAGTTCGTTCAGTCATTCACCAATCACTCACTCACTCACTTATTTATTAACTACGTTACTAACACAATTAAGTACCTTCGCGCCTACCACGAGATTGCGGAGCATTATGCCTTTTATATTATATAAATTTTCGTAAGAACACGGACTAACTCAAATAGCTTGATATTTCTGCCATGTGACGAGCATCCTTTTACTAATAACTAATAAATAGTCAACTATAACTATGCCTTAAAAACGTACTCCTTCTTAAAAACCGGCAACACTTCGCGCTCACTCCGGTTTTGTAAGTATACCTGGGAAGGTGCTGATTGTTTTTCTCTAGATCATCTGTAAACTAATTTACCCGCATATTACCATAAACAGATTTATAAACTTTACGCATTAATAAAAGAACAACCCTTTATAAACTAATTACTTCAATCATGTACATCATTTAGGTAACCAGCACAAGAGTATACCCTTGACCTTAACTGAAGACTAAAAGTTAGTCTAGAGAGTGAGTAAAAGGTTGATGCGAAAAGTGGTTCGTGTAGGGAAACGTGTCGCTCATGACATCCGGCGCACGTCGCTACACTACACTGCCGAGCGCCGGAAATTATGAGGGAAATCGGGGCAAGCAGGATATTGATGGCGCAATCACTACACACATGCAACATGCAACCACGCCGTGATACGCTGGAGATGGAGATCCGACATCTGACACGCATACGTAGCTAATAGTTTACATATTAACTTATTGATTCAATTTAATTTCTTGCATAACTTGCTTTTCTGTTCTGAAAACTTCTTATTACAGCGAAGGTAAAAAAGTTTTTTTTTTCAACTTTAAAATGCAATTAATCATTTTAAATCAAAAGATAGTTTTACTGCACACCTTTATGTAACTGATTAAACTTAAAAGGGGTTCATAGCTTAGGAAGCAAAATATAATATAATAAAAACATTATGTTTAAAAATCAATTAATTGCAAAACTTATGTAGGTACTTACATATTTAAGACAAAACAAAACATATTAAAAAATTACATCTTCGTAGATCATTTAATTAGGAGATGTACCACTATGAGTGTGTGCTAAGCATATTATTTAATGTTTTATTTCTGCAACGTTATTTTCTATACATTCGCTATCAGAGTAAATAGACCGAGTTATCATATACAAATAAACATTGTTTTGTTTCGTGACAGTTCGCTTCCAATGTTTACTGTATTAGCTGTTCACGTGTGCTGATCATTTACATAATGTCTCTGAGGTCATCAGGACATCTTACGCAACAATTACACGATGACGTCACACGTACAGACAAGTTACTACTCAGATCGTTTCATTTGTAAAGCTGAACCCGGCAACAAGTCAAACGGATATAAAGTGTAGATCAATAGTAATCCAGTACTTTACAAGAAAGCACTCGACAGGAGCACTTAGCAGACATTTAATCTGTATTTCTTGCAGTCGCTACTCGCCCACTACTCGCCCTCTACCCACCGCTTGCCTGTGTACCGACCATTTATTTTCGTAACTATCTAACGATAGACTGCCCTGTAATCTACTCCAGCATTTACTAAGTACGCTTTTAGTCTTAATCAAACTGAACTTAGTGTTTCATTGATTACTAGGTCACGGGTTCGACAACCTCTTTTTGCGTCGTTTGTTAATTAGGTGACAATCCCTGCGATTATGTAAGTTCAGCTACAGATTAACGTGTAACTCTAGTTACACAAAGTTGACGCAAAAGTTTTATTATTTTAAGAAACATCAAGTAGTAACATTAGGACACATAAGCTTACAATAAATGTTAACCAAACACAACTCAGATAAGGCAAACATTATCATTATTTGACTTCTATTTTAGGCGACTGTAGCATATACATATATATAGTGTGTAGGTAATTGTTTATTTATTGTGTCCAGTTTATTGGCCATTACAAGAATATGTCTTTGCACATGTGAAAGCACGTACTGTGTTATATTCTAGTGTTTATTACAGTTTATGGTCTTTTTCTTTTACACCAAAATTGTGCAAATAGTTTAGCCCTGTGTATGAGTCATCCTCATGGGATTGACCATTGAACTAAGTAAATGAAATCACCTTCATTTTCTTTTATGTGTATTATGTACCTAATGCTACCCCAAAAACAATATCAAAAACAAATCTTTGCTAAAAATCTAATCGATATTTATTTGTTTTGGTTGACCTACCTATCTGATGTATAGGTAAATAAATAAATAATGTGTAACAGTTTTGCAAACATCATGTGGATCACTGAGTAGTAACTCCATTGTGACAACTTCATCATGCAAAATAAACAACAATTATCTTAAATTATCTCCACAACTTTGATATCACGCGGCCCAGAGAATTTGATTTGTAAGAGTGGTACACTAGTATATTAAAGCATTTCCAACACAGCTTTAAAAACGCGCGCATCTCTGTAGTTATATAAAATATAGAAACATTGAAATAATACTCGTTAAAATGACTTCCAGTGGCACGAAGGGCCATACAAGAGTGCAGTGGGCGATTACAATATTGTGTAAGTTCCTCGTTGCTAGTACAATATGTGGACACACCGACTCGGGACTTGTAAATTTCTCAATTTTTTTTTCATACGTTTTCTAAACTTGTTTTTATGTTGTGACTAGGTTCTTCTGAACAACATTATATTTACGCGGGTATTAACGCGGAAAATTATAATTTGAATACCTTGGTAGGCTTGACGTTTCGACCCGGTTGCACAGGTCGTGGTCACAAGCAGAGATGGTCTGCTACTACTGCTGCGTCAAGCCTACCAAGGTATTCAAATTCTAATTTTCCGCGTTAATACCCGCGTAAATATAATGTTGTTAAGATGAAACGCGAAAGTTTAAAAGTTAGTATAGGTTCTTCTGTTTGAATTTATTAGTAACAAAATACATATGTTAGTAGTTACAATAATAGTGTTGCGGTTTTAGGTAACTTGACGGTTTTCACGTATGGCCTCCAATGCGGTTGGATGTCACCTGCCACCGTCCTGCTGCAGTCACACAACTCCCCCACTGGCAGGCCACTGTCCACCAGTGAAGTCTCATGGGTAGCCAGCTCAGCATCGCTGGCCGGAGTGCTCGGTGCCTTCGTGTTTATCAAAACTGTTGATCGATTTGGGAGGAAAATGGGAATCTTAGTTATGACAGTCCTACAAGCGGTGAGTAGTCTTTAAAATTGCAAAACTAATGTCTTTTTGGATAAGTAATTTTATTGATAGACATACATATTGTTTGTGTACAGTTTTAGAATGTTCCGTTAATTTTGTTTATTTTCAATAAAGTAGTATCGTATAGTTAGCGTAATATTAAATGACTTTGTATTTTCCAGTTGGTGTGGATAGTAAAGTTACTGCCAGCCAGTACTACGACCCTCATCGTCGCCCGAGTGTTCAGTGGCATGGCAGGTGCTGGCTGCTTCCACGTGGTGCCCATGTACGTGAAAGAAATTGCTCAGGATAGCATCAGAGGCTCGTTATCGTCTGTCGCTGCTTTAGCTCAGAGCATTGGTATTCTGGTCATGTTTCTGATGGGAGGGTTTCTGGACTATTACACGGTGCTCTGGATTGTGGTCGGTCTCCCGATAGTCACGTTCGGAATGTTACTTAAGGCTCCGGAATCACCCTCGTACTTAGTCAAAGTAGGAAAGACTGAGGTAAGTTTGCATTCTGACTGTATTTATATTCATGTCGTTGCTAATAATGTTCAATACTACAAATTATTTGAAAATACTTTTTGTTTATAGGAAGCTACGCGAGTTCTCGCTTTCTTAAGAGGTCTGGATGTTGAAGATAAAGAAATACAAAATGAAATCGATGTTCTCAAGCGGGAAGATGAATATTATAAGTCCATGCCCAGTATTTCAATGGCTACTGTTTGTAAGTTATACTTTTAATATAACACAAGAAAACTATAGAGATCGAACAATAACAGGTATTAAAGTTTTTCTTAAATTTCACAGTCAAAACTAAACCGTGGCGGAAAGCATGCATTATCATGATCTTGGTGATCCTGGTCCATGCTTTCAATGGAAGTTTCTCCGTCCTCAACTACACTGCAACTCTACTGCAAGACTCGGGCATGAACATCAGTCCGGAGCTACAGTCACTCAGCATCCCTATATTTATGACGCTGGGGTCTATCGTCACAATTATTACTATTGACAAACTGGGAAGGAAGGTGAGCGGAAAATAGCATTACATTAGTTTTCCAAGTAACTATAATTTTAAAATGGATTTAGAAAACTACTGCAACTGTAATGACTCGATATTCTTTGAATACAACAAAAAAAGTTTTTAAACATCATATTGTTTTCGTTCATAGTTGATTTTGGGATCATCGTTTGCGGCCACAGCGCTTGCCTTCGCATGCATGGCAACATCCTCGGTGCTGAAGATGTACGGATGGATGGCTCCTGCCTGGATCAACGTGACTATGATGATGGTGCTCATATGCTGCTATGGTGGCGGCGTCTGTCCTTTGCCTTTCATTGTGATGGCCGAGTTGTTTAATTTCCAAGTAAGTGGAAACTAGATTTTTTACTTTATTTTTCAATTTATCGCATACAAGCCCCTATAAAACTAAAAGGGCCAAGGTGACTAATAAACAGGGATTGTTACATGTTGTGTACAATAGGACAGTAGTAATTGCGGTTTTATAGTAGGTAACAATGTCATTTCTTTGCAGATCCGTGCTAAGCTGATGGGTTACCTTGTGATGCTTGCATGGTTCACCAGCTTCATTCAGCTGGTCATATTCAGTGAGTTGACCAGCAGGTACGGCGCACATGTCAGTTTCTGCATGTTTGTGGTGATTAACGTGCTGGCGACCGCACTGGTACTCCTCGTGCTGCCGGAGACCAAGGGAAAGAGCATCGAGGAACTAGAGAAGGAGTTAACGGAAGGGCGGAGAAGAAAGTGCGTTACGATGTCTTAGTAGGTAGTCGTGGCCAAAAGCAATAATTATGACAATGTAAATAGTTTTGAGACATACTCTGAAATGGACTCGGATATACATAAGCGTTGAAAGATGACCGTTTTATTCATCATATTATATGGAAAAGGTATGGCATTGGAAGTTTCCGAAACGCAATATGATATATACAGTCGACTTGTATAGCGTGAACCCGGCGCCGCAGCTGTGAAGCCCCTGTACCGGCTCATCATCCGCGCTGAGTAGCTCAATGTGCTCGTTAAACTGTCCAAACTTGTGAACAGATTTGTCTTCTACTTTGATCGATTAAGATCGTTCCCTTTTTAAGAAGTTATAACACATTATGAGGGTGGCGTGCCGACGATTAATATTCCAGGCTTGAAAGTTAAAATTAGTTGCTAGTTCAAGAGAAATCAGTTGACTATTGTGAACATTAATAATGTTATGCACTCTATGCAGTTTATTGTCCTGATTCTAAATATTATTGAAATGTAAATAATAACTTTTTAACAAGTTTTCATAAGTAGAGGCAGCTGTAGCTCAATATTACGGATGAAATATTGTCTCAAAAAGATAATCTTTTTGGGCCAGTTGACAGAAAAAGAAATATAATGTTGTGATATTAATAAAAAAAGGTAATAAAACACATTATTTTTTTATTATTATAACCCTGTTTACTAAAAATATAATGCTTTCGTAGAATTAAAACAGCAATAGGTACACAATTCTATTACTAAACAATATTCTTTTAATAAGTGGAAAGATATCTTGCTCAGAATTAATTGTTCGTCGGAATGGAGAAGTAGATTCAATCAGTAGAGATCAGTAGACATTGTAATGTATGATAATGTGTAGGAAACAGACTGTTGATAATAATGCGGAGAAATAAAGTGTCCGTAGAACGGCGATAAATTCGGTCGGACGGCCGCGGGCGGGCCGCAGGCGAGCCGTCCCGGCCCGGACATAAATCACGGTACAAAAATGAGGCCTTGGCAATTTTGGCCTAAGTGTGTATTGTCAAATATGCTATTTATTATTCTCGTTACGGCACAACATGGCCACTTAGTTTTTGAGTCCGCTGTTGGGTCTTGTAAACTGAGCATTTTATCACTTGTTTATGTCACGTTTTTAAATTATGGCTCACAGGATAGGATTACTTAATAAACCTTGACTTGCTCTGCTTACATTGTTTCCCCTCTCAATATTTTTAAAGATACAAAAGATTTTGCTCGTATATTTAGGGACAGAATAAGCTGCGAGCTCTAATTGTGCGCGTTTTACTGTTGCCTCAGAGTGCTTGCTCCCTGCGGCATGGTTGCGTTATCTTTCTATTTATCCTGAAAATATGTTATTCTAAATAATTATACTTTTTATTGGTTGGTAGTACAGTATTTTTTATTATTAAAATATAAACATGTCAATCTCCATGGAACTATTTATATACTTTGCAGCGGTTGAAGTGAAAGTTTTACGTTAGAGGTACACGTTTGTAAACATACCTACACGTTGATACGCCTATAATGTAATGTAATGGGGATCGATGATATCGTTCAAATATTTGGTATTCGGTATTATATCCGCGCCGAGCCGCTGATCAAAGACGATACAATATAAGAATGCGACGGTAGCGGCCATGTTTGCTACTCACGGTTGCGGCGCGTGGCGACCCACTTACTGACGAACGTCTTTGGGAAGGAGAGATTCCCTTTGATTACAATGCAATCTCTTTGGGGAAGAATCCACCGAAAGAATCTAATAAAGCTTTGTTCATAATTTCAATTTGATTATGTGAATTGTAAAAGTACCTATACTTCACCGCACAATTACACAAGTTAGCATTCTACGAGTACATCACCTCGTTACAAATAGTTTACGAAATCAGAGAATTCTGTAAATATGTCAGTGACATATTAAATCAGATATCTCGTTGTAGTTCATGAGTTTTTACCGAAACGGAAAAATGCTTGAAAGCGAATTTATTTCGATTTCCTTTTACTTCTAAAGTAGGTACGTCCCGTCTCCTACCGGAATGCCTTTTCATACGATTTCAAACAGATTCAATCATGTCAAATTGACTAACGAGATGGATCGCTAAAAATATATTTCAAATTCAGCTTAACATCACGGTAACTCAATTTGTTTCTACAGTCCAGTTAAATGGCTTTACCTCTTTGTGGCTTTGACTGAACTTCTTATTGAAGTAACTTTTATATTTTCATTTTGTTGCGCACAAGTTAATCCACTAATTTCTTTCTCTTAAACACAAACAAAATTTTTCAAAAGATCTGCTAAAGGACAATGAGAAATCATGATTGTGTGAACTCGTCCCCAAAAGACGTCAACTTCCCGAGCTCGATGGCTGTGGGGTAATTTTCCATGTAAAAGTGGTTGACGTGCTCCGAATTGAATGGAAAGCCAAAAGGTATAAGTGGACACGTCTGCAGTACATACGTTTGCCAACATTTTGTGATTCCCCGGGAAATGTAGGAACTTCCCGCCTACTTATCTTACTTTACAAAGAATTTTATTGTCAACGAATGTCTTGACTTTTGACGTATACAATAATGAGCTTACTTAACTGGTGAATTTAACACTGATCGATGGAGGCTATAGCTGGCATCAGCCAGTACTTTAAATAACTTTTAAAGTACTAAACGCATGTAAGATATAATTCCTAATATAGTTCTTAAACAGCAAGAAATGCCTAGCCAATTTATATAACAACGCCAATATGCCTGTAAGTATAAGAAATAAAGGAGAAAATTAAATAAAGGAGAAGATATGTACAACGTTATCATTACTTTTTGTAAACCGGCCTACGTGCGCTCTTTCCATTTCATTTCTCTGATATATTTCGGCGAAACCCAAAACTTTATCCATAATGGTAGGTAGGTGGCGCCACGTTCTGCGTGTAACGAACAAAAAGTCAACTGCGTGGGAGTATCGCAGCGTGCCTTATAAGTAGTGTTTAATGGGAATTAGCATAACGACATCGTGTCTGTCATTACATATAGAGTGCCGTTGGAAACATTCTCAAAAGTGTTCTATAATCCCTGAATGTTGTATGGTAAAATAAAAGTAGGAAATTGATAGCAAATGTATTTATTCGTGCTATAGAGACGCAACTATAACGTTTTTATTGTATGAAATAAGTTTTGTTGAATATTATAGGTCACACTCTCAGTTTTAGGACCTAAAAATGTACACATCATGTAAAACCGGTATGTTCGTGTAAATTCACGGTCAAAGCATTGTTGTTATAAAAAGTTATTTCGATAAAATATTGTAAATCATCATCCCGGTATCGGGCACAGGTCCATTGTCAGGACCCCGAGCGAAGAATAAAGGGGACTGAACATTAAAAAATGCAAAAATATTTTTCTGCTTACTCATCGGTAGGGTTGCTAAAAGAAATTCTTTAAAGAGCTTAAAATAATTCCATTGAAGGGGTCTGACAATAGATAAATTGGGGTCGGTGCAACCCCGCAAGACAATTGCTTCACATTTTTAGAATTTACTGAATCATTAAGGTAATTGAGAAAAACTAGGACGAAAATAAAATAATGGGTTTTTATTTAACCAATTTAATGTTGTGGAAAAAGAAAAGTGTAAATTCATAACGAATAAAAATGGCAATTTGGTAAGTCAACTAAATGTTTGCAATATTTCAACTGACCAAATTGTTGGTGTCTAGCGACACTGTCGTCCGCTGCCACGTTGTGCAGATAAGTACAAATGCTGGGGTGAGCATTGACGCGTGCCGGAGAACCAATTAAAAATAAATTAAAAGTCACACAAATCTCTGTGACCACTCCCACTCTGCAATAAATTGTTGTAACCCTGGAGACGCTTTTTTACGTAAATCAGTATTGCAAGATTATAATGGAACAGTTGTCCTACTTGGTGTTAAAAAGCCGGGACATGTCATACAAATGTTATCGATATTGGTGGTCCTTGTAAAGCGAGTGGGCGATTCAATAAATCCTCAGCTTCTTGCTCTGTCATTGACTCGAAGTCGAGAAAGAAACATGTCGGCCTTCACACACGTCCGCACCCTTCCGATGTTATCACTAGACTGACTGTGATAGATCGACCCTCACATAAGTCCTCGTCATCCATCCAATCTGAATACTGATGAGCCACATAATATACGCCGATTGATCAATGCTAATGCAATTGCACAACAACATTACTTTTGCATAAATTCCTCAAACACAGAATGGAAGACTGTAACATACCTACGGAACCTGGTAACCTGGCTTACTCACAAGCCTACAACTACAACCACAAAGTTTTTTCAAAAAACTAAAACATGAGATTTATGTTAAGAAACTGTATATAAAGGCACCTAGTTCATACATACGAATTTTCAAAATGATTATAACTGAATGTTAATAAAATATTTCAATCCGAGTATTAATTAATTCAATTTTATGGAAGCCACGAAGCGAATATTTATATTTCCACAACTCTACAAGATCGTCATCGAACGGATTCTGTTAAATATTTAAAGTACACAGCGCGAGCTCCACTGACGTATTCATATTTCCTGAATCAAAATTAACGGAGGCTTTTGTAATATTACATCTAAAATTAGCATGTTCGTGTTGTTGAATTAAATTAAATAACAGCTCGGACTCACTGGCAGGAGACGTCAGATACTTATTTTTCAGTTGTTTTGTGCAATGGACCCACTGCAGTGTAAGAATAAAAAAATACGAACTTAGAAATGTTTAAACCAGTAAATTAAACTAAGGACAAACCTTGCTCTGGTATCACACTGGCGACCTTTGTACCAATGAGATTTTTTAAAACAATCTTAATAAAAACGAAAGTACTTTCCCGTCTAATTATTTTCAGTTTCATTACAGTCGTGACCGCGAGCGCTGGAAAGTATTTAAAGCTCGGAAAATGTTTTAACATTATTATTATTATTATTTCTGTGAAACGATTTTTACCATCACTTCGCTTGTAACTTTAGTATTTCACATTTTCCAGTCATTTATTTACCAGACTTTGTTAATTCAGAAATAAATACAGTTAATTTAACAGAACTGATTACTTGTTAAATAAAACATGTTCACAGCCTGTAACTGTCCCGGTCTCACAAAGAAAGCTGCATTACATATTATGTTCGAAATGAAATCAAATATTCTCATGTATCCGCGGCCAGTGAGAACCACCCCTGACGATCATCGCTTACAGGCTTCCAATTAATTCTACCGGCCTTCAACAAAAGCTTCGTTAAAAGATTCGTGTGTTGGTCTGAAGCTGGACATAAAAATGCGCCTTGAGAACTTTTTCAAATAAAACACACTTACTTTTAATTGTCCAAAGACAACTCATTAACTGTAGTCTCTAGGGACAATACTTTGTCTTTCTTTTTACTTCTTGTTATTTTAATTCTGAGATTGTGTGACTTTTTGTCCAACGAGCAAATAGCTCTGGAGTGTTTCTGCAATAGTTTTGGCCAGAGAGAGTCAATCTAAAACTAACTCATATCTTTCATGTTCGGACGTAACAGGAAAAATAAAAATATCCCCGAATCGTACAAAAACTCCTTTCCTTTAACTCCAAATAAAGTATACAATTATTACAAATCCCAGGCACTTTTTTCTATTTTAATCCTTTCAAAGAATAAGCTTGTCGCCAGTTCCCTCGTATGACACAGACACCGCCGCACCCACTTTGACACAATCTACATAATGCCACCCGCACTCACCCAAACACGGCGAAATAAG